CTGAGCCGGAACCGGGTAAAGGCCCTGGAGATATGGATTACATGATGTAAGCAAGGTACGCTGGACCCGGTTTCAGCAGGTGAGGCTCCCCACCAATAGACTGGAGCGTCCAGCGGACAGCCTGCTAGACGGCGATGCTCATACCCCCCCGCTCTAGCAGACCTGTGCTGGTTAAAAAAAAAAAGAAAAAAGAAAAGAAGTGGTGAAGTCTGAACGTTCTGGATTATTATTTCGATTTAGTTAGAAGAAAGCATACAGGTAGGGCGCCTGCACTTCGCGTTATGAGAACGAGGTGTAAAGCATAGAAAGTCGCATAAACAAAGCACGTCCACTGAATGGAGAATCAAATACATATTACATACCTTTGTCATTTGTAGCCTTCGATTATGTGACTATCTTAATATAAGTATGGATCAAATACATTCCGCCCCACATATATCGTATCAATGAGATAGATATTGATCTCATACGATAGCTTACTATCTACTCTGCGACCTTCAGCTACGCACAACTACAGACACTGTGACAATTGGCTGCAGGTGTCAGAAGGCTGCCCCTCCTTTCCTGACTGTGTACCCTCTGCATCCAGACATCATATGCCCACTTTGCAGCCAGGAACACTATAAGTAGTTAATGGTCGTCTGTGACACCCGTTCTTCCTTCCCGATAGCATGCAACCGACACGCCATTTGCTGGGAGTGTTTGGTTGACATGCTTAATGCCATCATGGCATCTATTGTGATGAGGATGCTCAGCGAAGTCTTCCATGGCATTACCAATTTACCCCTACCTTTCATGTCCTTTGTGATCAAGCAGAGACTTGAAGCCTTCTCTCTTACCTCCCCTATGCTCATCTTTATACCACACACTTACTCCTCTGTCTTCGTTCCATCTTTGGTCTCCCTTTATCACCCCTCCCTTTACCTCCTTTTCACAACATGCAAGTGGACCATTATGGCAGACAGGGATGTAGGCAGCTCGCAGCGAGCTAGATCAACGTGGGGAGCCTGAGAAGGACAGTAAAGAGGAAGCTAAATGAAGAAATAAAAAAGACACCATAAGAAAACCAAATAAGAATAGGAAAGAAAAAAAGAACACTGGAAACGGTCAAGAATGATTTCAGTGTGCTTCATGATGTTTGCTATTTTCTTCTTTTGTTCATCATAAGGAAGTGCCCAGTGGACTGGCTTTCAGAACAGGAGCTCACTTCTCGCCTTAAGGGATGCCACCGACGAGATGAGAACTTACAAATTATCATCAAATGCATCCCAGAAGGCTGGAAGGAGTTGTTGAAAGGAGCCCATGCATGGAAATCAGGGGGGTAAGGAGTGATGATTCAGGAACAGTACCCACAAGGGCCTTCCAATTCTCCCACAAGCAACAGGGGCCAGATGCCCTGGCTGTTTTCACCACTTTCCCAATTACTCCCACAATGGGCGGCTCCTCCTCCACCCTAAACAACGACGTTGAGCTAAAAGTACTCAATCCGTTCGTGCTCAGAAAAGTAAGAGTTTTAGGGGTATGGCCGAAAACAATTTTCGGAATGGACATGGCAATTCAAGATTTGGAATTTGACCCAGCAGAATGGGCCTGGTCACCAGTCAGAAGTAAGAACATTGGAACGGTGGTGGACATTCATGAGTACACAGTTAAACTGGGATACAACTTACTTCTTACTAGTTCTTAGAACAAAGGACCCTGATCCAGCAATTAAGAACAGATGGGTAAAGCTAATTGAACATGAGGCCAATCAGATGTCAAAAATACCATGGAAAAGTTTTAAAACAATCCGGCCGGTCAAATTCAGGAGCCTCCAGTGACTCATCTCCTACGTGGCTCGACCAGGCAACCAATGGCTACATATTAGAAGAAGGAAGACCGGTCCTAGCAGCTCGGACTTATGCGTGACATGCTAGGACAATGAACCAGAATATATGATACACTGCCTAATACGTTGTAGAGAGGCGACAAAGTACTGGGCTAGGGTATCTGACCTTCGGGACTCCCTTTTCTTTTCTTTTATTTTTTTTGAAATTTTCTATAATAAAGGTTGTGCAAGCTGAGGTATAGGCAGGCCCTACCCTGATGGCCAGTGCTATAATCACACTCCCATGACACACCCAGGGCAGAGCGGGGCATTCCAAGGCGGGAGACTCCCAATGGTACCCAGTGCCTCAGCGACCCTCCCCACCCCAACTGCGTATGTTGTAAGCACAGTCAGCAGGACGCTCGACGGGCGGGACCCCCCATACAACATCTACACAGCCTTGTGACCGTCCCCCCGTGGGGTACCCGGGGGGATGCAAATGCGTTGGAGTCCAATATGGCGGATTCCAATTGTGTGCACTCATTCGAGACAGCCAGGGCTCGAACCGGCAGCCTGTGTCTTACAACACAGGAACCTGTAGAAAACAGGGACCCGGCCAACTGGGCAACTGCACACCCCTGTCCCGAACACCCCATCCAACTCCTCCTATGGACTAACATCCCCGCCTACTTCCGGAAAACAGAGAAGGTCTAGTTCAGTATGATTCGAAAGGTGACACTTTGGTCCATATGGAACGAAAGATGCTGCAGAACTGTTGAAGGCCTCTCCACTCCAAGAGAGAGAGTTTGGGTGGCTACAAGGTCGCTGATGCAGGCTGAGATCCTTTGCAAGTGGCAGAAAACGAAGCAATCAATGCCGGATGATATAGACGAGCAAAACGAAATCAAAGCTAAGTTTGCAAGGGTATGGCGTGTGGGACGCAAGGTAGCGGATATAAATGGATCCTGTATACGGCAGCACATAAACTCGACAACATGGCGAGATGTGGAGACCAGCAGTCAACAACCTTCAAGGCCAGAATTCCAGCAAGACATCCCCGACATGTTCGGGGCTTTTGGCTTCCAAACCCTGTGGAACCAAAGTGTGGCGAATGCTGGACCAGCTTGGAGCATCATCACATCAGGAGGATTGTCGGTGAGATCAGCATCAAGGGAGCTCTTTTGTTGTATTTTTCCTGTGCAGGTTTTTTCGTCCAAAGCATTGGTTTATCATCGACATTGCCGCTGGTTGTCTTCACACATCAAAGCTGCTCGTCATTTGTGTCACCCGCGTCTTTTTTTGCCGCTGCTCGCCATCTGCGTTTTACTGTTGACAGTGTTCATCATCACCATTTCGCTTCCTTATCTTCTTCATGATCATCATTCGGACTTCTCCGTCAAAATCGTAATCATCATCAGCTTCTACTTTCATTACAGCAGTAGTGAGCTGTCAATCTTCCACACCAGTGCCATTTGGGCATCGCAAGTCAAACACTCAACTTATTTCTCGCCAATTTGATTTCATCATCATCATCATCATCATCATCATCATCATCACGGTTTCTTTATTCATTTTTTCATCAATCAGTAGTTATCTTTGTGTTGGTGGTTATATTCTTTTCGCCCAGATAGGGAATGGTCTAGTTGGTAGCTAGGTCGGTCAGGAAGGGAGCACTACTCCGCAGGGTTAACACAAGGTGGGAGGTGATTGCGCTCCAGGGAGTAGACGCGGATAATGGGAGCTGACCTGGGCCGAGGCTGGGAGATAATGTATGGGGGCGCATTATCTCCTGGTGGAGGCAGACTAGGTCAGAGTGTTAGTTTTGAGGTACACCTATTGGGGGAACTGGTTACCTCAAGGCCGAAGGGAATGGGGAGGTTCTCTCTCTTGTTGAGGCTGATAGGAACTTCATGCTGATAGCGGGGTTCGGCTCAGCGGAGGCAGCGAGAGGAGAAGAGGAAACGAGGGGAGAGGAGGAGAGTACATCGAGGAAGGGGAGGGGTGGAGAGGAACAATCATCAGCATTGTCATCATTATCCATCATATTTCTGATCATCTCAGGGTACTCGTCAAATTTCATCATCAGAAAGGCTTTTTGATCAGGATTCGGATATTATCAGATCCTAGATTTCTGGTTGGCATTCTAGCTTAGCTAATTCCCTAATTGAGCCTTTTTGTGTAATGGTCAGGTTGAGTTGGCGCCAGAATGACGCTGGACGGCGCTGGGGTAGTGCCCTGTAACCTGCTTGAGTAGGAGATTGAGACTTTGTATAGAGGTCTGGGATTGCCGAGGGAGGAAGGCAATCTGCAAACTTGACTAATGGCTACAATCTGGCCAACGATGGTCGGAGCTGGAGTGGGCAGCGCTGCCCTGTAACCGAGCCAGATTGGGATGTGAGACCGGGAAGAGGCCTGATTGGTGCACATCACCGGCTCAGTTGTGATTGGTTGGTTGGAATGGATACAGGAAACTAGGGATAGGATAGTATTTGAGTGCTGAGTACACAACCATTCTGATTAGTCATCATCTAGCTCTATTTCATGACCCCAATCATCCACTCTATCATCCTGAACATCCTAAATCATCCTAAATGATCCTCAATCGTCCCAAATTATCATCAATTATCATCAATCATCAATGTATTTCCATTATAAGGGACGATGGGCCCGGTTCCCAGCACGTGCTGCTCCTCACGAATGGATTGGAGCAATTTTCATAAAAAAAAAAAAAAAAAAAAATCCTTTCTTGTTCTTCATGTCAAATCTGATGGGTTTGGATCAACAAACCTAAGAGGAGAGGTAGCGGAAATGCAAGCTGACAGTCAATCCTCCAGGTATCTGGAGCAATCAATGCTGATCAGGGGTCCTTGGGCCAAATGGAAGGAAGCATGAGGGTTTTCTTGTTGTAATTCTGATTTGCCGGCGGAATAGGAACTGGACTGATTCTCCCCAGAATGGATATGGAGCCAGGGCCTCAAGGACCTGTTTTTTTTTGTTGTTTTTCCTGAACTGCGTAGTCAACCGTAGGCAGAGTGGGAGAAGAGAAGAGTTCTAAATTATATACATGTGTCAATATATATGTCTACAATATACTGCATCCTACATTTTTTCAAGGACATGGCGTCAAGTGACTTTTTTGGATTGATTGATTGGGCCTTGGGTTTGGGGCATGAGGTTGATCAATGGCTGTTAGGTGGACCCAGTGCATTTTGATCGCGCAGCCCTGGCTGATGTGCTGATTGGAAGGACCACCCATGCAGTTAGGTCATCACGTTCATCAGCACCATTCTTTGCGAGGATGACTGACAACAGGGATTCTCTATACATGGACCTGTACCGAATTCTTCAAGGACAACGGCCCCGTGTTTACGGTAATTCTCTCTCTCTCTCTCTCTCTCTCTCTCTCTCTCTCTCTCTCTCTCTCTCT